AAAAAAACACGGCTGTACTCACAGCAAGCGAAGGTAAACTGGAAAGTTGTAGATGTAGCAGTCAGTGATTCCTTCTGCTAATGTAGGATATTGATCCTTAAACGAATATACTGATCTCTATTGCTAAACCAGCCTTCATCAAGGCCAAACCAGCCTCTATCACCAAGGAGACAGGCTGGGAGAGACGGAGTTATACATTCTTCTAATTCAAGTGGTTTTTGTGCCAGTCTGATGAGATCTTTGGTACCCTGGTCTTTGCTGGTTTGGAGCTGGAAGAGAGTGCACTCAATTTCTGCAGCAAGCTGGGACCACCGTGAGAGACTGCCTGGATGCCCTAACAGCATCAGCATCGTCCACTCCTTCCCTCCTCCCCTCCTCTGTTCAGTGCTCAGCACAAAACAGATGGTGTGAGAATCATAGAATCATAAAATAGTGGAATTTCACAGGTAAGAAGAGTCCTTAAAAATCGGTAAGTCCAACCACAACCTAACCGTACCACCGAACTCTAACAACCCTCTGCTAAATCGTGTCCCTGAGCACCACATCCAAAAGTTTTTTAAACACATGCAGGAATGGTGACTCAACCACCTCCCTGGGGAGCCTATTCCAGTGCTTAACAATGCTTTCTGTAAAGATTTTTTTCTTGATTTCATACCTACACCTCCTCTGGCACATCTTGAGGCCATTTTCCCTCATCCTGTCGCCTGTCACCAGTGAGCAGAGACCATCCCCACTCTCGCTGCCATCTCCTTTCAGATATCTGAAGAGAGCAATAAGGTCTTCCCTCAGGCTTCTTTTCCCCAGACTAAACAGCCCCAGTACCATCAGTCTCTCCTCGTGGGCCATATTCTCCAAGTCCTTCATGAGCCTTGTTGTACTTTTTTGGACCTGCTCCAGCATCTCAATTTCCTTTCTGGATCGAGTTGCCCAAAACTGAACACAGAACTCGAGGTGGGTCCTCACCAGTGCCGAATACAGGGACAGGATGACTTTGCTAGTCTTGCTCACCACACCATTCCTGATACAAACTAGGATGCCATTGGCCTTCTTGGCCACCTGGGCACACTGCTGGCTCAAATTCACAGAATCACAGAATCACAGAACAGCCTGGGTTGAAAAGGACCTCAAAGATCATGAATCTCCAGCCCCTCTGCCACAGGCAGGGCCGCCAACCTCCCCATTTATTACTAGACCACGTTGCCCAGGGCCCCATCCAATCTATCCTTGAACACCACCAGCGATGGGGCATCCACAGCCTCTCTGGGCAGCTGTTCCAGCCTCACCACTCTCATAGTAAAGAATTGCCCCCTGACATCCAACCTCAATCTTCCCTCCCTCAACTTCAAACCATTTCCCTTTGTCCTGCTGTTATCTACCCTTTCAAAGAGTTGACTCCCCTCCTGTTTGTAGGCTCCCTTTAGGTACTGAAAGGCTGCAATGAGGTCACCCCGCAACCTTCTCTTCTTCAGGCTGAACAAGCCCAGATCCCTCAGCCTGTCTTCAAAATTCAGCCAACTGTCCGTTAGTACACCAAGGTACCTTCTGTCACGCTTTCCAGCCACTCCTCCCCAAGCCTGTAGGGTTGCCTGGAGTTGTGATCAAAATGCAGGATCCAACACTTTGCCCTATTGAAACTCATGCAGTTTATCTTGCCCCATCATTTCAGTCTAACCAGTTCTCTCCATAGTGCCTTTCTCCCATCTGGCAGATCAACACTCTCTCCCAAAATGGTGTCGACTGCAAACTTCCTGAGGGTGCACTCAATCCCATCATCAAAATCATTAACAAAGATGTTAAATAGAAGTGGCCCCAGTACGAAGCCTTGGGGGACACCACGCGTGACTGGCTGCCAACTAGATTTAACTCTTTGGGCCCAGCCATCCAGCCAGTGTTTCACCCAGCAGAGCATCTAAACTGTAGGCAGCCAGCTTCTCCATGAGGATGTTGTGGGGGACAGTGTCAGAGGCTTTACTGAAGTCCAGATAAACCACATCGACAGCCTTACTTTTGTCTGCTATACTGGTCACCTTGTCATAGAATGAAATCAGGTTTATCAAACAGGATCAAGCATTTATAAACCCATGCTGACTGGGTCTGATCCCCTGGTTGACCTTTAATTGATCCATGATGGCTCCCGAGATTATCCACTTCATAACCTTCTGTGGCACCGATGTGAGACTGATAGGTCTGTAGCTACCAGGATCATCTTCCCGGCCCTTTCTGATGATGGGTGTCACATTTGCCACTCTCCAGTCCACGGGGACATTCCCAGTTAGCCAGGACTGCCAAAGGATGGATGGCTTGGCAACTATATCCACCAACTCCCTCAGCACTTTCGAGTGCAATTTGTCTGGTCTCATGGACTTGTGAGCATCCAGCTTTTGGAGTAGGTCCAAAACCATTTCATCACGGATTATGAAGGGCCAAAGTCTGCCCTCTGCAAGTCCAAGGTGGCAGTTCTGCTAACTTCCCTCTGTGGTTCAAGAAGGATGGAGAAATCCAGCATCTCATGATCACTTTGCCCCAGACAGCCTTCAACCTTTATGTCCCCCACAAGACCTCCTCTGTTAACAAACAGCACGTCCAGGATTCTGCTTCCCCTTGTTGGCTCCTTCACCAGCTGTGTCAGGAAGTTACCTCTCACACACTCTAGGAACTTCCAGGACTGTTCCCTATCTGCTGTATAATAAATCCAGCAGATGCCCAGGAATTTGAAGTCCCCCATGAGAACAAGGAGTAGAAACCTTGAGACTGCACCCAAGTGATGATGAAGTATCTTATCCACATTTCATCCTGGTTGGGTGGACTGCAGCAGATACCAACAATGACGTCACCCAATTAATAGCCATTAATTTTATTCTAACCTTAAGCTCTCAACTCATCATCGATTTCCACACATTCACATTCCTTCTTATACCTTATTCCTTCTATACCTCCACCTTTCTTGCCTCGCCTTTCTCTTTTGAACAGTCAGTAACCATCCCTCACAGCACTCCAGCTGTGCAAGTCATTCCACCACATTTCTGTGATAGTGACTTTATCGTAGTTTTCCAACCTCACAATGGCCTCCAGCTATTCCTGTTTGTTACCCATGCTGTGTGCATTAGTGTAAAAGCACCTGAGCTGGGCCAACTTTTGAGTGGGAGAAACCCTAATACCATCTTGACTCGACTCAGGTGTTTCCACAGCCACCAACTTCCTGCATCGCCAAGCAGGGACCTTTTGCCATTGCCCTGTGCCCCCTGCTCCAATTCTTCACCGTTGTTGTGAGGGAGAGGAGTGAGCAGGGAGTTCAGCGTAGCAGGAACACAGCCTGCCTGCCTGTTCCCCTCTATTACCTGTCTGTAAGGCGGTAGGGGGAGATGTGCTCCACGTGGAGCCTCAGCTGGCTGCCTAGATCTCAGGACCGACAGGGACTGGCACCACCAATCAGCCTCCCTCTCACGCTCCCTAATGCAGCTCAGCCTCTCCACCTCCTCCTTGAGGTCAACCACAAGGTTGAGCACATTATTTAGCATGCTGTATCTAACACAAGCGCTGTCTCCATCACCTCGCATTGCAAAGGCCAGGCCCTGGCGCTCCCTACAGCCACAGGCCTGTGCACTAGCATGTTGTAGTGGGATCTCTGTCAGAATTTGCACATTTTTCTTGACAGAAGCCTTCCTTTTTTGTGTGCCTGGGACTTCATCTCCATATTTTTGGGGGCAGTAGCTTTCCACCAGGTTGCAGCCATGGGCAAAGCAGCAGACTCACTAGCACTATCTAAGGTAGCCTTAATGGGGACAAGACAGGGGAGCCTGGAGATTTCTGGTAGAGCACAGGCAGTCTAGATGGAGCAGTAATGAGGAGAAGAGTTGAAGGCTTACAGGCTGATTTCTGCATGATGCCACATCAGGGGAGAGGAGGGAGGCCATCCGGGAAGGCACGTGCAATGTTAAAGGGGTGCAGTTTGTTCCACATGGAAATACGAAAATCCACACCTTTGCTTCATATGCATTCCCATGTCAGACACTTTTGTCAGACTGCCGCTCTGCTGGGAACTGTCGCACAGCAAGGAAATATAATGGAATATTGGCAAGAAGGTTCAGCCTCTACAGCTGTACCACCAACATCCACTTCTGAAATCGTGGGCCAGCTTCATAAAAAAAGGTGGCTTTGCTTCTGGAGCAGCCTGCGTTCTTTGTGTAGGAAGCTCCAATGCTTCCTATATTTGCATGGCCTGGTAGTGCCAGCAGCTCAGCAATCACCTGCAGTAATTGCCCTAGAGCAAGGGCTGGGGAGGCTCCTAAAGCCACACAGGACCTTCTGCCCACCAGAGGCTTTTCTGCCAGGCTGAGACTGGTCATCATTGGGCTGGATCTGGAAGACAGCGTGCTCTATTTCTGCACCCTGCTGGGACGATGGTGAGAGACAGTCCTGGATGCCCTACAGCACCAGTGTTGTCTACTTCTCCACTCCTTCCCTCCATCGCTCCATATTCACAGCCCAGCAAGAGACAGATGGTGTGCGAAGATCGAGAAAGGACAGCCTGGAGCTTTTCTGGGGAGTGGAGGGCATCAAGACGTTGCTGAAACGAGGAGAATGGGTTAAAAGACTTCGAGGGCAGTTTCTGCATGGTGCGTCCTGGTGCTAAGTCAAGGAAGGGAACAGAAGTCATGGAGGGATGTCGGTGCGGAGCTCGGGAGGCACGTGCGAGAAGAGGCTGCGGGCCAAGAGCCCGTGCGTGGGGCAGCCGTGCTGCGTGCGGCCTCGGCCCGGGCCCGTCGTGAACGGAGCGCTGCGTGGGGATCAGCCCAGGGCCCGCAGCTCCGAGTGCCGCGGCGCCGCGCTCCGCCTCCGCCCCCCCGCGCCGCCCCGTCCTCCGCTGAAGGGGCCGCGGGGCCGGGCCGGGCGGAGAGCAGAGGAGAGGAGAGCAGAGGAGCGGGGGACGCCGCCCGAGCGCGGCCCCGCTCCGCTGGCGTCCGCCTCCCGGGCAGACGGCGGCGGCGCGGCGGGGCGCGATGGCGGCCGGGCTGGGGCCGTGGCTGCTGGCCTTGGCCTTGGGGCCGGCGGGTGAGAGAGAAGCGGGCACGGAGGGCGGCGAGGCCGGGGCCGGGCGCGGCTCCTGCTGCCGCCCCGCGGGCGGGCGGGTGCGCGGAGGCCCGGCGCTCGCCTTCGGTGCCGGGCAGCGGCTGTCGTGCGTGGCACAGGGAGGCTGCGTGGGGACGCGGATGGTGCGGGAGCGGCCCTGGCTGAGCCCCGAGGAGGAGGGCGGCTGGGGCAGCGCCCCTGGCCTGGGGCTGCGGCACGAGAGAGGAGCTTCACAGCTCTGAGTTGATGGCAGTTGTTGTCAGGGTGGCTGGGGAACATCCTCCTGCCATGGATGTGCAATGCCTGCTTCCTGATGCTGTCCTTCTACAGGACTGTGTGCACAGTGGAGACTGGAAGTGTCTGGCGGAGGTGTGCGAGCACCTGGGGAGTCCATGCAGCTCTCCTGCCAGGGATCCGGCTTCAGCTTTGGAAATTACCATGTACTGTGGTACCGTCAGGCACTCAGTCGCTGTATCGTGTGGCTGTCCGTCCTTGACACTGGCTCATATGTTAGATTGAGCCCAGAGTTGGAGGATCGAGTGTCGTTTTCTCGAGACAATTTGCAATCTGTGTCCTATCTGACTTTCCGTGCCCTGCGCCCACACGACTCAGCGCGCTACTTCTGTGCGGTTGACACGAGAACAGGAAATCCTGCAGAGCTGTAACAAAAATGCCCTTCTTAGACACAGCCGTGGCTGCAGAACCGCAGTGCTGGCAGGAGCTGGAGCATCTCTGGGCTTCTCCTGGATTGTGAGGGAATGTCACTGCACACCACAGATGACCCTGTCCTTTCTGCCAGGTCTTCTGTCACTTCTCCTGAGTAACAAAAGCAGTGTTGTGACCTGAGGATTATATTCAGCATATTTCTGTTCACACTGTCAGCCCGGCCACTTTACCTGCCTTCTTACCTGCAGCATGTCTGCACCTGCTTTTGATTTCCTTCTTTTCTTGTGTACTCAAAAGCACTTGGGCACTTCTAGCAACAGCATTGCCTGCTTCCATCACCTGTGTGGATGGCTTTTGCCATGTTTCTCTGTGAGCAAAACAGTGACTGAATAGATCTGATGTGGTTTCAGGGGCATTTCAGAGTGATGGAATGCAGCAGATGCTGTCTGTAGCGTTGCAGGGTACAGCTGTTCCTGACAGACTTACACTGTTCTTTCTGTTCCTGTGTGAGTCTCAGTAGATTCTTCCTGGTGCAAAGTTTGGTATATTCCAATGTTAGCATTGTCATTTAAGTGCACAAAATCCAATATTCAGCTCTGCACTCAGGTTCCTGTTCAAAATCCACTGATTCATAGGGTTAAGCTGCTCCAGACACTCTTCATTTCATGATGTGACATCTGCACGGTCTTCTGGAATATGGCTTGTCTTCCTTGTCGGTGTTCCCACTGCTGAAACACAAATCCCACTGCCTCACGGTGTTCACATTCAACTTTAGGTCTCCATAAATGTTCAGCAGGTGTCAGTGAATGCCAAGGGTGCAATTCTTTCCATGTGGAGCAATTCAACATCACACCTTTGCCTCATACGCACTTACGTGGCAGACTCCATTCTATCCGACAGCCTCTCTGTTACCATGTGTTACACAGCAACAGAATTGAATGGAATGGAATGGAATACCAACAGGAGTTCAACGTGTACTGCCATGCTGCCAACATCCACCTCTGTCTGCATGTGCCTGCATAGGAAATAGATGGCACTGTTGTGGAGCAGCCCTTGTACTTACAACTGCAATGCTTCCTGTACTTGCAAGGCTCGGTACCAGCAGTATCCTGGCAGGCCCCTGCAGTATTGGCTCCGAGCTCACTGGAACAGCTCTGCAGCTGTGGACCAAAAAGTGACTGACAGGCAATCCAGTATTCTCAATGTTTCTTTCTAGCAGCCTTGAATCAGATGGTGTTGTGCAGCAGCAGGTGCAGAAAGCAGGCCTTTCCACAATATGTAACGATACTGTCATGGTTTTGTGATTTTTGGCTTTCGGTATTCCACATCATAACATCATGTGGGGCACTGGGACTTTAACTGTCAATGCTCAAGTCCTGGCTACCTGCCCTGAAGAGAAGAAGAACTACATTCCCCAGGGGACTTTGCGCTCAGGGAGAGGAGGTTTAACTCCTGGCAAGGTCACCTGATTGCTCTTTCTCGCCTGCCCTTCGTCGTGGGCACTGCTCCCGTCTCCCTGATGCTCAACTGCACTGCGCATCTCACCTCAGTGTTGTGGTGAGGCCTATCCACCTTACAGACATTCTCTCTCTCATTATATTTGATTTATTAGCTTCAATTCTGATTATATTGTATTATAGTGTGTTATCTTGCATTCCGATAATATACTTAGTAAATTAGTTTGTTTCTCCTCAGATCGGTGCCGCTGTTTTAATTATTTTGGGGTCTCCTGTTTCCTTTTTCCGGAAGCGCGGATCTGCGGATCCCTCCGCCCCGCTCGTCACAGAACCGGGCCAAACCAGCCCTTAAACCGTTGACATTCTTGGTGGAGAATGCGGGCAAATGCTGTTTTTTAGCTTTTGAGAACGAATCTCTCTCTGCTCTCGGAGAGCTTCGTTGGGAAAGTTTATCTTTATCACCGGTGCTCACCGAAAACTTGACCTTGAAAGACTAGGCGTTCTGCCAGTGTTCTGGGATATTTGTAAATTTTGAGCACTGCTATCTTGCTTCTGTAAAGAGAAAAAAAAATGATTCCACTTTCTCTTTTAAACCTGTTTGCAGAGGGAGCTGCTAATTTCACAGAACTTGGGATTTTTAAACAGGTTCCCAGTCTCTCCTTTGAATCCTTTATGCCGTTTTTGAATGCTCACCTGATCGCATTGTTTATCTCCCTGAATTTACTGTTCATTATTTCAGTCAGTTTTTGTATTTATCGTATTTTGAGGAAGCCTTCCCCAAAACCAGAGAATACTGAATGGCAGGGAGTGTGGAGAGGCTTGGAAGAGATTTTAGAGAGATGGACATCTTCGGTGTCATGGAACTTTACTCCTGAACACCTGAAAGACCCTGAAAGCTTAAGCATTTTTTTGAGACAGGAATGTTGTGGCTCAGGCAGATCTGACGAGGCACAAATGATTTGGGGCCTGGCTAATGCTTATCGGGCCTTATTCAATAGTATCCCAAAAAGGGAAAGAGTTTGTGAAATTGAGAGAGAGTGTCCAAGAGCTGAGAGGGAGAATCTCCAGGCTGAGAAGGAGAGTTTCCAGGAGAGACTCCAAGCCGAGAGGGAGAATCTCCAGGTCCAGAGAGAGAGTCTCCTAGTTGAGAAACAGAGTCTCCAAATGCAAAGAGAGAGTCTCCAAGCTGAAGGGGAGAATCTCCAAGCTGAGAGAAGGTATCTCCAGTCTCAACGAGATGCCCTCGAATCCGAGTGAGACTCCCTGCAATCCAAACTCGACACCCTCCAAACTGAGCGAGACACCCTCCAATCTGAACTAAATAATCTCATAGTCAAACAAGACAGACTCCAAGCAGAGCGAGAGGGTGAGAGCATCGGAACTGACCACCCTGATCAACCACAGGAGGCACCACAATTGATATCAGTTGCCCCTGTAAGAGGATGGAAAACGAAACGAATCTCGACTCAGTTAGAACAGAAGAAAGAGGAGGAAAGAGGTCCAGAGGATTGGCTCTGAGGTCTAAGAGAAGCACCCCTGAGTCCAGGGGAAGGGCCCTCAGTAAGACCACCGTCACCAATACCTCCATTCCTCTGAATAAGAAAGTGGGCAGGCGAGGTAGGAAACCGGCTTGGCTCAGCAAGGACTTGCTGAGAGAACTGAGGGCGAAGAAAGGGGTGTACAAGCTCTGGAAACAAGGCTGTGTCACCTGGGAAGAGTACAGGAATGCCGTTCGGACTTGCAGACGTGGGATCAGGGAAGCCAAGGCGCAGGCAGAACTGAACTTGGCAAGGGACGTGAAAAACAATAAGAAAACCTTCTACAGGTACATTGCCCAGAAGAGACAGGCCAAAACGGGCGTACCTACTTTGGTAAATTTAAAAGGAGAACTGGCTTCAACAGATGAAGAGAAAGCTGAGGTGCTGAATGAGTTCTTCACCTCGGTCTTCACTGGTGGCCAGGATTCCAGTCTTTTTCACGTTCCTGAACCCTGCATCCCCAAACCTCTATGTGGGGACCAAGGAGGTAAATCCCTCCCCACTGTAAGGGCAGAGCAAGTCCGAGAGTGCCTCCTTAGACTGAATGAATACAAGTCTATGGGGCCGGATGGCGTGCATCCCAGGGTCCTGAAGGAGCTGGCTGAGGTGGTTGCCGAGCCGCTCTCCATCATATTTGAGAAGTCGTGGCTGTCAGGTGAGGTCCCGAACGACTGGAGGAAGGGTCATGTCACTCCCATATACAAGAAGGGGAGCAGGGAGGACCTGGGGAACTACAGGCCGGTGAGTCTCACCTCCGTGCCTGGGAAGATCATGGAACAGATCCTTCTGGACAACATGCTTGGTCACATAAAGAATGAGCATGTGATCCGAGACAGCCAGCACGGCTTCACCAAAGGAAGGTCATGCCTAACTAATCTTGTGGCCTTCTATGATGGAGTGACGGCATTGGTGGACGAAGGGAAGGCGACCGATGTCATTTACCTGGACCTGAGCAAGGCCTTTGACATGGTCCCCCACCACATCCTCATCTCCAAATTGGAGGGAAGTGGATTTGATGGGTGGACGACCCGATGGATAAGCAATTGGTTGAAAGGCCGCAGACAGAGGGTGGTGGTCAATGGCTCTATGTCCAGGTGGAGGCCGGTAACAAGTGGTGTACCCCAAGGGTCTGTCTTGGGACCGGTGCTCTTTAACATCTTTATTAATGACATCGATGAGGGAATTGAGTGCACCCTCAGCAAGTTTGCTGACGACACCAAGCTGAGTGGTGCGGTTGATACGGTGGAAGGAAGGGATGCCATTCAGAGGGACCTCGACAGGCTGGAGGGCTGGGCTCGGGTGAACCTGATGAGGTTCAACACGGCAAAGTGCAAGGTTTTGCATTTGGGCCGGAAGAACCCCAGGCACCTGTACAGGCTGGGAGGAGCGGTCCTTGAGAGCAGCTCGGCAGAGAAGGACCTGGGGGTCCTGATGGACGAGAGACTGAATATGAGCCAGCAGTGCGCTCTGGCAGCTCGAAAGGCAAATGGGATCCTGGGCTCCATCAGGAGAGGGGTGGCCAGCAGGGACAGGGAGGTGATTGTCCCTCTCTACTCGGCTCTTGTGAGGCCCCATCTGGAGTACTGTGTCCAGGTGTGGAGCCCTCAGTACAAGAAAGACATTGAGATTTTGGAAAGGGTCCAGAGGAGGGCAACTAAGATGATCAGGGGGCTGGAGCACCTCCCCTATGAGGACAGGCTGAGGGAGTTGGGCTTGTTCAGCCTGGAGAAGAGAAGGCTGTGGGGTGACCTCATTGCAGCCTATCAATACCTGAAGGGAACCTACACCCAGGAGGGGAGTAAACTCTTCAAAAGGGCTGATAACAGCAGGACTAGGGGAAATGGTTTTAAGTTGAAGGAGGGAAGATTTAGGTTGGATGTTAGGGGGAAGTTCTTTACTAGGAGAGTGGTTAGGCCCTGGAACGGGCTGCCCAGGGAGGTTGTGGATGCCCCGTCCTTGGACGTGTTTAAGGCCAGGTTGGACGGGGTCCTGGGCAACCTGATCTGAATGTGTATGTTTGGTGGCCCTGCTAGGCAGGGGGGTTGGAACTACATGATCCTTGGGGTCCCTTCCAACCCGGGTGATTCTGTGATTCTGTGATTCTGTAATACCTACGAGGGCAACAAGAAGTCCTGAAAGAGGAAGAGGTGAGCAAGATATTGTTACCCTTGTTGATCAATCTCTGAAAATGAATGAAATTCGCAGTCTGAGAAAAGACTTCTCACGTCACCCAAATGAGCCTATTGCCACTTGGTTACTTCGATGTTGGGACAATGGGGCCAACAGTGTGTGGCTAGATAGTAGAGAAGCTCGCCAATTGGGTGGCATTGCTAGGGACTCAGCCATTGACAGAGGCATTGCTACATGCCAGAACCAGGCCTTCACTCTCTGGAAGCGGATGTTATTAGCTGTAAAAGAAAGATACCCCTTCAAAGATGATCTGATGCCTGAGAAAAATAAATGGACTAATATAGAAAAAGGCATCAGTTATTTGAGAGAATATGCTGTGGTGGACATGCTACATAGCCCTGATTTCATTCCTGATGATCCAAACCAAGAGCATGATCCTGAGAGAGTCAGGTGTACATCAAACATGTGGCGTACATTCACAAAGACTGCACCAGAAAAGTATGCCAGTACATTTGCAGCAATGTATGGCAGAGGGGAAAGAAGACCCCTTATAAATGAACTGATTAATAAGCTTCAAGACTTTGAGTTACATTTAAGCCCTCTACGAGTTTGTGTTTCAGCCATTGCAAAGGTAGCTGAAAAGCTGAACAGAATGGAGAGCAAGCAAGAAGGTATCATAGACAAACTGTCTATCGTGCCTGATGCTGATGGATCCATGGTGGTAACAGATACATCCAATTGAGATCAGAATTCCCAAGATGGCCTACTGGAGGGGCTGATCAACTTGGTTTCCTCCCAGCTGGTGTCATCCAACGTCTCAGCTATCAAAAGAAGACGTCCTCCTGCTTGAGCAAATGACAACAGTAAGACCACGTCACGTTTTGCCTTGTGGCATTACCTACATGTCCATGGAGAAGATATGAAGAAGTGGCATAAGCAACCTACTCCTGCACTTCAAGCAAGGGTAAAAGAATTACAAGGCAAATCAACCACCAAGGTGAACTTCTCCAAAAAGGTGATTGCTCCAGTTGCTGCAGACAACGGAGGTAACAAATAGAGGGAGGGACCCTGCCCCCAGCCAGAGGGGGGAAAGGGATAATAGAGTTTATTGGACTGTGTGGATTAGATGGCCTGGCACAGAAGAACCACAGAAATATAAGGCCCTGGTGGACACTGGTGCTCAGTGCACCCTAATGCCCTCGAGTCACCAAGGGACAAAATCAGTTTATATTCATGGGGTGACTGGGGATTCCCAAGAGCTGACTATGTTGGAGGCCGAAATCAGCCTCACTGGTAAAGACTGGCAAAAGCACCCTATTGTGACTGGCCCAGGGGCTCCATGTATACTTGGTATTGATTACCTCAGAAGGGGATATTTTAAGGATCCCAAAGGGTATCGATGGGCCTTTGGAATAGCTGCTTAGACACAGAAGGTGTTAAGCAGTTGTCTGTTCTGCCTGGCCTATCAGAAGATCCGTCTGTTGTGGGGTTGCTATGAGTGGAAGAGCAACAGGTACCGATTGCTACAAAAACAGTGCACAGGCGGCAGTATCGCACCAACAGGGATTCCTTGCTCCCCATTCATAAGTTGATTCGTCAACTGGAGAGTCAGGGAGTGATCAGCAAAACTCACTCACCTTTTAACAGTCCCATATGGCCAGCGCGTAAAGCCAGTGGAGAATGGAGGCTGACAGTAGATTACCGTGGCCTGAATGAAGTCACACCCCCACTGAGTGCTGCTGTGCCAGATATGTTAGAACTCCAATATGAACTGGAGTCAAAAGCAGCCAGATGGTATGCCACCACTGACATTGCTAATGCCTTTTTCTCCATTCCTTTGGCCAAAGAATGTAGACCACAGTTTGCTTTCACCTGGAGGGGCATTCAGTATACCTGGAATCGTTTGCCCCAGGGGTGGAAACACAGCCCGACCATCTGCCATGGGCTGATCCAAGCCGAACTGGAACAGGGAGGTGCTCCTGAGTACTTACAGTACATTGATGACATCATTGTGTGGGGCAACACAGCAAGGGAAGTTTTTGAGAAAGGAAAGCAAATAATCCAGATCCTTCTCCGTGCTGGTTTTGCTATTAAGCGCAGCAAAGTGAAAGGACCTGCCCAGGAAATTCAGTTCCTAGGCATAAAGTGGCAAGATGGCCGTCGTCACATCCCGACAGATGTGATTGACAAAATCACTGCCATGTCTCTGCCCACTAATAAGGAAGAGACACAATCATTTCTGGGCGTAGTGGGTTTTTGGAGAATGCATGTTCCAAACTACAGCCTCATTGTAAGCCCCCTTTATCATGCGACACGAATGAAGAATGAGTTTACATGGGGTCCTGAGCAGCAGCAGGCTTTTGAGCAGATTAAACGGGAGATAGCCCGTGCTGTGGCCCTGGGGCCAGTACGGATGGGACAGGATGTGAAGAACATCCTCTACACTGCTGCTGGAGAGAAAGGTCCCACTTGGAGTTTGTGGCAAAGAACCTCAGGAGAGACCCGAGGCCGACCCCTGGGATTCTGGAGTCGGGCGTACAGAGGGTCTGAAGAGCACTACACTCCAACTGAGAAGGAGATCTTAGCTGCATATGAGGGGGTTCAGGCTGCTTCTGAAGTAGTCGGTACTGAAACACAGCTCCTTCTGGCACCTCGACTGCCAGTGTTGAACTGGATGTTTAAGGGAAAGGTTCCCTCCACCCATCATGCTACTGATGCCACTTGGAGTAAGTGGATTGCATTGATTACGCAGCGAGCGCGGATGGGGAACCTCAGCCGTCCAGGAATCCTAGAGGTGATCATGGACTGGCCTGAAGGCAAAAAGTTTGGAACATCACCAGCAGAAGAAGTATCACATGCTAAAGAAGCCCCACCATACAATGAACTACCAGAGAATGAAAAGAAATATGCCCTGTTCACAGATGGATCGTGTCGTATTGTGGGAAAGCATCGCAGATGGAAATCTGCTGTGTGGAGCCCCACATGACAAGTTGCAGAGGCCACTGAAGGGAAAGGCGAATCAAGCCAATTTGCAGAGGTAAAGGCTGTCCAACTGGCCTTAGATGTTGCTGAATGGGAGAGGTGGCCAGTGCTCTATCTTTACACTGACTCATGGATGGTGGCAAATGCCTTATGGGGGTGGTTACAGCAGTGGGAACAAAATAACTGGCAAAGAAGGGGTAAACCTATTTGGGCTGCTGAACTGTGGAAAGACATTGCTGCCCAAATAAAGAATATGGTTGTAAAGGTGCATCATGTAGATGGTCATGTGCCCAAGAGTCGGGCTACTGAAGAACAGCAAAACAACCATCAGGTAGATCGAGCTGCCAAAATTAAGGTGGCTCAAATAGACTTGGACTGGCAGAACAAGGGTGAATTATTTCTAGCTCGATGGGCCCATGAGACCTCAGGTCATCAAGGAAGAGATGCAACATACAAATGGGCTAGAGACCGAGGGGTGGACTTAACTATGGATGCTATTGTACAGGTTATCCATGATTGTGACACATGCACCACAATTAATTTTGTGTGTGCGTGTGTTTAATATTTGGTAATTACTGTTTGTATACAGATTAAGCATGATGTAGTGATGTAGAATAAGGGGTGGAATGTCATGGTTTTGTGATTTTTGGCTTTCGGTATTCCACATCATAACATCATGTGGGGCACTGGGACTTTAACTGTCAATGCTCAAGTCCTGGCTACCTGCCCTGAAGAGAAGAAGAACTACATTCCCCGGGGGACTTTGCGCTCAGGGAGAGGAGGTTTAACTTCTGGCAAGGTCACCTGATTGCTCTTTCTCGCCTGCCCTTCGTCGTGGACACTGCTCCCGTCTCCCTGATGCTCAACTGCACTGCGCATCTCACCTCAGTGTTGTGGTGAGGCCTATCCACCTTACAGACATTCTCTCTCTTTCTCCTCAGATCGGTGCCGCTGTTTTAATTATTTTGGGGTCTCCTGTTTCCTTTTTTACGGAGGCGCGGATCTGCGGATCCCTCCGCCCCGCTCGTCACGGAACCGGGCCGAACCAGCCCTTAAACCGTTGACAATACCCATTGGAAGAAAGTGCAGTTCAAGGGCTGAGAAAATTGTGATGCAAAAGGAGGCATTCTGGGAGCCTCAGTTGCTGCACAGTGAACCATCAGCTACTGCACACTGACTGGGCTTCTGATCTACCATGGCCCAGTTTTTCCTCCATGGCCTGGCTGCAAATCTATTCGACCATGGATGTGCAGTTGGATAAGTTGGAGAAGTGCTGTAGGAGATGGATCAAAAGAAGGATAGCCAGCAGTTCCAATGAGGTGATTCCAACCATTTGTTCCATTGTTGTGAAACCTCACCTGAAATACTGTGTTCAAGTCTGGGCACAAAGGGATAAGAACGACATTGGCCAGTTGGAGTGGGTCCAGAGAGCAGCCACAGAGATGATCTGAGGAGATGCAGCAGCTCTCGTGTTGTCACGTGAAATCAGGGAAGAAAGCTCTCTAACTACAAGGAGGTGTTAGAGAGCCGACACTCCCTTATTCCTCACAATACAGTCTGGTGACTTGATAAATCAAGCACGTGCTCTGAGAGTTCCAGTGCTACATTTAAACAGTTAAGACGTACATATGCAGTACATTGGCATACATATTCATTCTTTTCCAAGAACTCATGAATACATGCTGTTGTCCTTCTAGGCATGGTAGGAGTTTGTGGTGGTCCTATACCACTGACTTCCTCCTCTTTTTTCCACCAACAGCTTCATCACAGTTACTTTTGGCTGTCCTCTAGCTGTTTGCCCCCAGTTTGACACATTTCCATTGGTTGGTAGGCCGAAACGAGTAACTTTCTGTCTTAGTGCAGCATAATCCAAAACCATCAGTGTGAAATCCAAGGAAAAAGTCTGTGTTCGTAGTGGATGCCAAGAGAAAAGTAGGCTGTTGTGACTGCAGTGCTCTTATGGAGCAGGATTGTAGAGAATAAACAAGGCTGTTCACACACCAAGCAAAGCTAAACTGGAAAATTTACAGCTAGCACTCATTGATTCCTTCTGCTAAAGCAAAACATTGGTCCTTAAACTAATATACTGATTTTTATTGCTAAACCAGCCAGTCCATGCCAAACCATATCCTATATAACTATGTAGACAGGCTGAGAGAGCTGGGAGTTTTACATTCTGGTAATTCGGTGTTTTCTGTGGCACTCAGATGAGATCTCTGGGCCTCGGGTGATGACTGGGCTGGAGCTGGAAGACAGGGCACTCAATTTCTGCACTCTGCTAGGAGCATGCTGGGAGACAGTCCCGGGGGCCCTGACTGCATCAGCGTTGCCCACTGCTCCCCTCCCTCTTCCCCTTTTGCAGCCCAGCCTGAGCCGGGTGGTGACAGTGAAAGGAGGAAAGAGACCGGAGCTCCAGGGAGCAGAGCAGGGGAAAGAGATGGTCCTGAAAAGAGGAGAATAGCGTAAAAGGCTGATGGGCTGATTTCTGCACGATGCCACGTCAAGGAACGAGAGGGAGGCCACGGAGGGATGTCGGTGCGGGGCTCGGGGAGGCACGTGCGAGGAGAGGCTGCCGGGCGAGAGCCCGTGCGTGGGGCAGCCCCGTCGTGCACGGAGCGCTGCGCGGGGATCAGCCCAGGGCCCGCAGCTCCGAGTGCCGGGGCGTCGAGCTCCGCCTCCGCCCCCCCGCGCCGCCCCGTCCTCCGCCGAAGGGGCCGCGGGGCCGCGGGGCCGGGCCGGGCGGAGAGCAGAGCAGAGGAGAGGAGAGGAGCGGAGCGGGGGGCGCCGCCCCGCCGGGGCCCGACGAGGGGCGGCCCGAG